CAGTAGCATATCCTGGCTCGAACCTTGGATTCTCTTATCCGCAGCCCGACACTTTAATCACTAGAACACATTTTTAGCCAGATAAGACAAATCAAACATGCCCTATATATGTATATTGAACTGAGCACATCTGTTTACTTAGAATTTCAAAATTCTTTGTTAAAAAAAGGAAATGAATATAAAAATTTGAATATCTTGTCAAATACAAAAATAAGTCACAAACCTATCCTATTTTCTTTAAAACAAACATCTTCTGAAATTTTTCCAGAAAAGTAATGTACTTACAGATGAATTTCAAGTCAAAATTTATCGTAAGTCATCCGTATAGATGGTTAATGCAATCGTTATAAACATAATTGTACAGGCTATAAAACGTGGGCGTTATTGTTTGTTTTAGCGCCAGGATATACCAAAGTTTGTTTGTTTTAGCGCAAAGCTAAACAATAGGATGTCTGCGCTCTGTTCACCACTGGTAATCGAACCCCAACTTTTAGGGTTAATTGTCATTAGACTTACCGTTGACCAACTAAGTACCATACGAAAGAGACGAGAGCATTTCTGAATGAAAGTTATGGCGTTAAAATATTATGAATTTTGGGGTCTTGAATTTAATTGATCGTTGGGTGTCTCTGTTATAAGCGTAACCATTATGAAGGCCAGAGAAATGTGATACTGAGTGTCAGACAGTTTGAGTGGAAATGGGTCAGATCTGATTAAAACGTTCTTCTTCTTGTGAGAATCGTCTCTTTGCTTGCAGATCGCTACAAGATGTGTACTGATATATACAATGGAACTTACCTCTTGCGGGAAAAATGGCGCTTGAACGGCAAAGATTGCGCCAACGCAGAAATTGCTGAGGCCGAGTAAGATCAGTAAAACCCATTGCAATCTGCTAAACCTTGTCCGAGGGAGTTCTTCGGCGATCTTTGTGGTGTGAGTTGGGGAAAATGACACTACTGGACCGTCTGGACAGCTCAAGTTTGTATACGTAAGCTGGCATTTCGGTGAATTATTGTATTGTACTCCCATATTGTGCGATTACTAAGAAAATAATGAAAAAAAATATTGTATTATATTTTGCATTCTCGGTTTCTCTAAAGTATATAAGTACAGAAATAAAATGAGGGGCATAATTATCATAATGCTTTCAGTTAATAACTCCAAAAATAAAAGTCGTAATTTTCTTTGCATAACGCTTTAGTCAAGTAAAATTTCTATTAAGTTAGGATTCTACCCTTCCCACTGGCTCAGCTTGTAACACTAAAAACCAGGTTTCGATACCCGTGGTAGACATAACACAGATAGTCCATTGTGTAACGAAACTGGGTTTTTAGCGTTATTAGCCTTCAGGCTTGCTCCTGATTGTTGGGGGTGGGTGGGAGAATTAATTATACAGGGATAAAAGCTTTTATCCACGAGAATAACAGAAAAAAAAAGTACATAGATGTATTAAAAAAAGTGATTATCTGATTTAAAAGAATTTAGCAGCTATACCCTGAGCCTTAATTGTAAAAGATGAACAACGAAAAATATATCTGACACAAAGTGTATATATATATATACCTAAAACAGAATATATATTTATAACACGTGAAACGAAGCTGGAAAAGCAATATAAAACTGAGCTCTTTCTAGCCTAACTATCATTTCATTTATATAGCATCAGGTTATCATATTCGATGGCGAATCAGTGTTTTTCTGATGATAATTACTATTGTTCTGAATGATATTTTGTAATTCTTTCATCACTGAGCAGCTTGTATTTAATTGGAACAATGGAGTTAGTATCCAAACTTTACTTAACACACATAAATAACTTTATCCATCTGTTATATCTCTATAGATACCTGAGCTAGCTTATTTCTAAATATTAAGTTTCTGAAAGTTGTATAAATAAAACTCACGTTACACACTATATATTTTTTTTCTCTTTTTAATGGCCCGGAATGGCCAGTTGGTTAGGGCGCTCGACTCGCAATCTGAGGGTCGCGGGTTCGAATCCCCATACCACCAAACATGCTCGCCCTTTTAGCCGAGGCGGCGTTATAATGTTACGGTCAATCCCACTATTCGTTGGTAAAAGAGTAGCCCAAGAGTTGGCGGTGGGTGGTGATGACTAGCTGCCTTCCCTCTAGTCTTACACTGCTAAATTAGGGACGGCTAGCGCAGATAGTCCTCGTGTAGCTTTGCGCAAAATTAAAAAAAAAAGTATTTTTTAATATTACGAACGCCCCCACAGTGGCTCAGCGGTAAGTCTATCGGTTTTTTACGCCAAAAACAAGGTTTTGATAGGTAGGCACAGCACGGACAGTTTGGTTTGTTTGTTTTAAAGCAAAAAGCTACATAGTGGGCTACCTGCGCTGCCCTGCCATGGCTCAGCGGTAAGTCTGGAGGCTTAAGACGCTAAGAACTAGGTTTCGATACTCGTGGTGGGGGCACAACGCAGATAATTTGATGTTAAAGCACGAAGATACGCAATTGGTTATCTGTACTATGCCCACCACGGATATCGAAACCCGAATTTTAGTGTTTTAAGCATGCAGACTTATCGCTGAGCCTGAGCCACTGGGGGCAGCACCGATAGCCCATTGTCTAGCAAGCATTATCAATAGCAAAAATATTCGAACATCCTATTTGTATGAGAAAATCATACAAATATAATTGCTAAGAGATTAGATATAATAATAATACAAATTCATCAATATGTCTAGACGTAAATACCAGTGATTAATGTCTGACGTAATCATCAAAAAGTAACGAAGCAGCATATTATGTCTGAGGGTTAATACGGATTTCACAATACACATGTAGAAGCTAATATACAAATGAAAAAAGGTATAATTAAGAATAACATTGAAACAAGGATGTACTGTTAACCCTAACCTATCGAACACAGTCAAAGACCATGAGGGTTTGTTTGTTTGAAGCTAAGCTCAAAGCTACATAATGGGCTATCTGTGCTCTGCCCACCACGGGTATCGAAACCCTGTTTCTAGCGTTCTAAGTCCGCAGACATACTGGTGGGCATTTATGAGAAAAAACACTGTTATATTGGAAGCAAAAGCAATATTTTGTGTTAATGTTTAAATTTATCTTCAGGTTACAGTGATTTATGTGAGTAAACTTTATTTTATTTTTTGAATTTTAGTTGCATTATGGAAATAGTCTTGTTGTTATAATATAATTATATTGATTTTAAAATATTTTATTTCATTTTTGTCGTTACTGGTTTCTCGAACATTATTAAGTTACTTTGTCTTAAATAAATTATTTAAGTAAGATTTTTAGTTCAACTTAATATGGAACATTTTAATTTAATATTTTGTTACTCACTTTTAGAGAAATACTTAATCTTTTTTGAATGACAATAACAGAAATCTGGGGGATCACTCCCCCCTAGATTTATGTAGGGAAAGAGCAAACGTGAGTGGTAGTTCTCCCCCCCTCAAGTGGAGGAGTTCTTATGGGGACCAAAATAACAATTATATTTCTGTTGAAAGATTCTGAATTTTCATTCGTTAAAATTAGCAATAAATAAATAAATAAATATATATATATATATATATATAAAACATCCTCGATCATGTGTAAGTGATGTCTGAAATTTTGAAGTTCGTCGAAAGTCGCTCCCCTCTGGCACAAATATTTAGGTTTTCAGACAACATCATATCATATCATTCCAGATTTTGCGAAGTACCACTATAAAGAAAAAAATGATGTTTTGAAAAGGCTCTAATGTTTTGCGTTTCAAGGTTTCTTTTAATAAATGTCTTTAGCGAAAACACTACAGTTTAATTTGGTTTAAATGTTGTTAAGCACAAGACCACACAATGGGTTCACTGTACTCTACCCACCGTGGGTATTGAAACCCGATTTTTAGAGAATAACATTGAAACAAGGATGTACTGTTAACCCTAACCTATCGAACACAGTCAAAGACCATGAGGGTTTGTTTGTTTGAAGCTAAGCACAAAGCTACATAATGTCACTGAGCCTCTGGGGAGGGGCGACAATAATAAAAAGAAGTTCAATTACAAATTGCCCCACCCCTGGCTCAGCTGTAAGGCTGAAAGCTTATAACACTAAAAACCACGTTTCGATAGATGTGGTGAGCATAGTACAGATAGCCCATTGTGTGACTTTGTGTTTAACTATAAACAAATAATTACAGTTTTTTTTAGTCATAAATTATCTCCATTAAAAGCCAATTATAGCTACATAACTATATAAAGTTTTCACTTTTTTTTACAACCCATAATTTCTTTCATTGATTGTAAATATTTGTAATATAATTCTCTATTAGTGTGTAACAACTAACCCTAATTTTGAAGTAATATACAAAGAAAAAAGCAGCTAGTCAACCCCACCCACCATTAACTCTTGGGCTACACATTACCAACGAATAGTAGGATTGAACATCACATTATAATGCTCCTACGGTTGAAAGAGCGGGTGTGTTCAGTTACGGGATTCGAGCCCACGACTGGCAGATTGCCACTATGCCATGCTAGGCCTAAGTTAAGAGAAAATAAATAACAAAATAATGTGAATGTTACAGACGTGGAATCTAAAGTTTAACACAAATAAGATATCAAAGGAGTGAAAGCTAAATTCCAGAAAACAGTTGCATCTAAATAAAATGTGGTATTAAAACTCAGTGTATTTTTTAAATTCGAGTAGAGACAACATGCATATTACTACGGTACAGCCGTCTGAATCGTTTTCCAATTTTCTTCAATGTTGGCTTCCATACTTTCGTTCTTCGGTGGATCAGCGGTAATTTTATGGATTTTCATTATAATCCAGAGTTCAATTCCTCGAGGTGGACAGAGCCCAGGTACCTTTACAATAAAAAAATCAATGCCCGTTTTTTTTTTTTATTTGACAATGATTCTTTGTGGAAGTATGTATTTTTAGCAGAGCCTGATTTAGGCATTGAGGGCCCAGGGTCAAACACAATTTGGGACCCCTGAGGATTCCGCTTACTAACTGCAACCATTATTAATAGGGCCTTCTATCATTACCATTATTATTTCTGAAATTAAATCTTGAAATATTTTTGCACCATAAAACATTTGTATTTTAGTGTAAAATATAAATAATAAAATAAATAAGTTCCAAAAGAAAAGATGTGACGTATTTTTTTCTTACAGTTTAATTTGGAAAATGAGGCTCCTAAGAAATAAGGGGCCCCGCGAGTCCATGCGTAAATCAAGGCCTGATTTTTATGCTTTCCATATTATTCGATTTCCAAAGTTAGGAGTGTGTGTGTGTGTGGTGTACATATTCAATATTCTTAATATTATTCAGCGATGATTTCGGTCTGTTCTTATTCTGTAGTTAGGTCTGTAGTTATTCTAATGTTGTAAGATTTTCCAAACATTCCCATTTGTTCGCAAACCCCGCCATTCGATAAGGGAGGAAGAGAGCGTTTCGGATCTACTAGAATTTTTGGGTTTGGGCCACTTATAAGTTGTGGAGGACATGGCTGCAATATCAGATATCATTTGTTTGTTTGAGTCCGAAGTCCATTCTAGGTTTTCTCGTTTTTTCTGTCTCGGCCGATTATTGACATCACACTGTCATACAAACAAACCCTATAGCTATCATATTACGTCAGATTGACAGCATATACGAAAATAGGTAGGTAAGTATAATTATAGCAAATAGGGTAGGTAGGAAGATAATCAGTGAATGTGTTCAGTGAAATAAAAAGAGTATTAACTTTAGGTTTTTGCAATGTTTTTGGGTGCGAGTATTTGTTTTATTTTATTAAATTAAAAATAATTGGTAGCTATTTTGATAGCTTTAGACGCTGAAGAGACGGATTTACGTAACAAAATTATGTAACAGTGTTTGTTTATGTTATTAGCATAAACTTAGTACTTTAGTTAAGCTTACAGCATATGACAGTTATCGGTGAATTCTTCTTATCCTTGTTGAGATGTTGTGAGTTATCTTAATTTAACATGACTTGTTTAGGGATGATGTACGTAATTTATTGATTACCGTGTTCTTATCATCATATATTTTTTTCATCATTATACAGTAAAAGAAAAAGAAAAAAAAGACAGCGAATTCGTTTTTTAAACATAAGTTCTACAAATTGGCTTAACAAATTCTCACTGATAGGCTTAGCTTCACAGTAAACACTTGTACAACAATTTCACTAACTTGCTTGCCCTCTCGTACTAGGCCTGGCTTGGCCTAGTGGTTAGGGAATTCGACTCGCCATCAGCTGTAAGGACGTTATAATGTGATAGTCAATCCCACTTTTCGTTGATATATATTAGCCTAAGACTTAACGTGGAGATTCTTGGCTAGCTATCTTTCCTGTAATCTATCACTTCTAAATTAGAGACAGCGAACGCGAAATCCCAAAAATAATCAAAGAAACTCTAGTATCACAATTCTCGCGATTTCTCGTATTAGCGGTACTTTGTCTCAAACACAAATCCAAAGTGATATAACTGACTAAAGGTAGATAAAAGATAACCCTAAAGTACTGTTTTTACACACCTTTGATTTTGAGAATCAAAGGACAAATAAATGGGAATGTAGATAACAATCTGCAGTTAATTTGATTTTTATAACACTTGTAAG